CCAAGTTGTTTCAGTCTCCTTTCATAATAGAAGTTCTTATTTTCACAGTCATTTCTCTGTACTGTACTCTGAATTTAATCTAGGCTGAGTTTTACTTCTGTGGGATACAGAGATTATCTTACTTGGAATGTTCAAGGATGTTCTTTGCCTTTCTCTGTTAGCCTGTCATATTGGCCTGTGCTCAGACAGTTTTACAAGGTCTGTCCCTCTGTCATTACCTGAAGAAATCCCAGTTTAGAGGAAAATTGTTGTTATATTTCAAAAGTGCATGGCTTTGTATTTTGTACTTCTGAATTTCATCTCACCCTTGTTTTTCTAGTACTCAGGGCCATCTCTCATCTAGTTCTTTCAATACTATTGAACAATATTCTTCTGTATTTATGATGACTCCGAAAATCACAATGTTAGTACATTTTATCAGTATCTCCCCCACTTCTTTACTGAGGGAACTAATAAAATCCTTAAATGCCACTGATACCTCCTTTTTACTCAATATTTTTCCTATTTACTGTGATTTAAACATATATCCTCCATTTTACAATCTCTCACTTTCCAGTCTAACTTCTTTTTCTTTTAAACACCATGTCAAATACTTTGCTGAAATCCCTATGTATTAGAGTGACCATCTTTTCATTTAACTATGAAATGTCTTTCAAAGTCTGTGGCATGGTCTATTTTTGCCAACCTAGATTTGTGCATGATTTTATATTATACTTGCCATCATTTCTGTGTTTTTTTAAGGAACGAATTCTAAATCCTTTGATACAGTTGATATAAGATTAACAAGCCTGTAGTGGGTTAGATCACTTTCCCTTCCTCTGTTCTTAAGTATAGGTGTTAATTTCCTATTCTTAAATAAGGTGTCACAATTATCTTGTGAGATTTAGTCTAAATGCTTGCTCCCAGACCTGTAATTTCATGTCCTAGCTCTTTCAGAAATGGGGTTAGAAATTACCCAGTCCCCCCCACTTGAACACATTCAGCCTCATTGGTTTTGCTTCTCTCTTAACTTTACTTATTTCCACATTTTCTCACCCTTTTTTCTTTTTTGAGGAACAAGACCTATGCTCTTTCTTTTAATAGTTTTCCAAGTCTATCTGAACTTGCCTTTGGTTTGCCTACCCTCTAAGTGTCATGTCTTTTGGAACACCAATTTTATCACATCTTTATTATCTGAAAATTTATATTTTCTTGGGGCTCTTTACACAGTTAATTCCTTAAGCTATAGACTCATGTATTTCCTACTTTAATGTGGGATGTTTTTGTCACTGAATTTCTAAAGTTCCAAGTCTCTATTGTGTTTTAGTTTCTGATCTCTTCAATTCAACTAGTTATATTAGTTTCCTCAATTTTTTTTTTAATATCAGGATGTTTAGATGGACCTACTTTTACCTATGTTTATATTGAATGCAAATGAAATTAATTTGCTGAGATTAATCACTTGTATCTTCTGTCAGAATTGTATACAGTGCTTTTCTTCTAGATCATAGTTAAAAAATATTAAGAGCTATAAGGAGGCAGATAATATGCTAATTTTCACATTGAGTAATAGCAGCATTTGATTTCTAGTTCATTTCTGCAAACACAAGTATCATAAAATAACACACTTGTGCATATTTAAAATACTGGTTTTACTGAAATACCACTTAGAGGCAAAACATGTGAACTCAGGGAAAAGATTTTATACACCATATCTGTAACAAGTCTGGGATTGTGGGCAGATGGCTTTCTGTCCATCTGCATCTATTAATAAAATTATTTCTTTTTTACCAGTGCTGTTAGAGTGCTTCCTTTCAATCTGAATTTGACCTCAAAAAATAACGTAAAAAACTCTTACCATCCTTCTCTGAGGTAAGTTCTCCTAAGCATATGCTCTATATAGAGCACATGTACTATGAGAGAAGCTGAGGGAAATAGAATTGTTTAGTCTGGACAGGAGGCTCAGGAGAGACCCTCTACCCACTCCCTGAAAGGAGAATTTAGCCAGCTGGGGGTCAGGTGTTTTACAAGGTAACATGTGATAGAAGTAGAGGACACAGCTTCAAGTCACATCAGAGGAGGTTTAGGTTTGATATTAGGAAAAATGTGAGTGAAAGGGTGGTCAGGCATTGGAACAGACTGCCCAGGGAAGTAGTGGAATCACCTTCTTTGGAAGCATTCAAATTACTTGAAAATTTTATACTTAGAGAAATGGATTAATTGTGAAAATGGTGGTTATATTTGATGCTCTTAGAGGTCTTTTCCAGACTTAAAAAAATTATCTGATTCTTTTACTTTTCAGATGTATTTGGCATTCCTGCTTCATCCTCCTGAATCCAGTTACCCAAGCACACCTCGATTACTCCTCACCTCGATGACTGCAGCTTAAAAGTCATTGGTGTGACCATTCCACCCTTAAAATACAAGGGTAATTGAGTTTGATCTAAATCCATCTCTCAAGCAGATACACGATTTATCATGCAAATGTGGCTCCTCAGAAGAAGTTTAAACATAAAGAACTGGGACTTGGCAAATTATAGGCATGATGTAGCAAAGTCCTGAGGTCCTTGATCAGGAGACTTGTAAAGATGAATTTATTGTAATCACTGCCTTTGTTAACCTTCATGTTTTTATTTTGCTATGAAATTAATGATAGATACATTATAGTATCCAACAAAATAGCCCAAAATAGTAATTGTCTCCCTGATGAGAATATAATTACATGAGCACTCCTGTAAAAATCCAAAATAACTCCATTGAGGAAAAGTACTTCTATGTTTACACTTCAGTGCAATCAAGAAGCAATACTGTCATGCCATCACTCCTACTGAATGTCTCAGCAAAACAGAAAAAAACCTTATATCATTATATTCCATTACAACCTTATATCTTCTTGCCTCCAAATGAAGCTAGTTAAACATTACTTTTGTCCAATTTCTGCATGTATTTACCAGTTTAGAAAGAACAGATCATGAAAAGGAAAAATGTGGAGAATATATTAGGTCTCAGAGTCAGAAAACAGATACAATAACTAACTAAGAATCAGTAAGAAAATGTTCATGAACACTTTTACTCAGTCATCCACAAATTTCTACATTTTTCTGAAACATGAATGAGTAGGAATTAGCAGAGTTTGTTTTTCTGACTCAATGTGACAGATCCTGAGTTGCTGCTTTTAAATAAATGTCAAGCTAATGTTTTTTAAATAGGCCAAAGCAGGGACATTGCACTTTTTTTAAATGTCTTTTCCAATGTCAAAATAAAAAATGGTTCTTTTACCATGTCCCTTCATGTTTGCTTCAAACAATTATTTACTTGAACAAGTATATTAAGTAGAACATAAACTGTAAATGCTAACTTACATTTTTAAACAGTCATGGAAATGACTGAACTGATAAGTGAAAATATTTTCTCTAGAAATAGACTGACAAAAGCTACATTTAATTTCAAGCAACAGAAACAAACACTGTGACCTCTGTGTACAATCACAGTAATGAGGATTTTGTATGGCCACAATGAACTGCATAAAAATCAAGAACTCCACAATCCTTTAGAGAAATTACTACTAAGTGCAGCTTTGAAACACACATTCTGCTTTTGCCTAAGCACAAATGTGTCTGTTTAGACTTAAGATTCATTGGTCAGGATTTAGATGTATAAATTCATATGGCTTATGCTCATAAATTCCTCATCTCTCTTCCCTCTTTCACAACTAATCTTTCTCTTCTGTATTTCTGTCAATGTTTTAACATTTTATGCAACATGTTTGATTCTTTCAAGTTCCCTCTGGATGGGATTCTTTCTCTCTAGCATGTTGGCCACACCACACAGCTGGGCGCCACTAGTAGACTTGCTGAGGGTGCCTGTGCTGCTGAAAATGCTGTGTTTTAAACAATGTGGGCCTCTGTACTGGCCCCTGAGGAGCGACAGTCAATTCCTTCAAGTGTATTATATAAATTACCATAGCAAAAATATCCAAAATTAGACTCTAACAGATAAAATGTATGTTGGATGGATTTAGAAAATGCATTGAAATGTGTCTAAATCTTCTATTTCATAATGTCTGATCATACCATGAAGTCTGGAGGTCTTTTTAAGCTCATTGGACTCTTCAGCTGGGTCCTTGCTGCAGTCTCAAAAGCATGTTTTCAAAACTTGCTTTTATGCAGGTTTTCAAAACAAAAGCACATTCAAGTCTGCAGTAATCTCATCCCTGTGGAAGTCAGCAGAACTGAAACATAGCCTTCAGGTGAAGCACTTAGATAAATATTCTTCCAAATACTCCTTTCTTTATGGATGAAATTAGCTGTATACCTCAGGGTTACATGCATGTTTAAGTGCACCTTGGAATATTTATGTAGTTGCATTCCAGGAATTGGTCTACATTGATTTAATCCTTAGATTTTTCCTCAAGATTCTTCCTCCTTGGAACACTCACACAGACTGTTCATATTTCTTCTGAATTAGGATATAGTCTTATGATGTGTCACCTGGTGGGAGTAACCCAGGGTGAGAAAAGACTGTCACTGAAGCCATGGGATGAGATTATTATTGTGGTTCCTAAAAGTCATAAAAATACCAAGGTGAAGAGGCAGTATTGACCTTCCCCAACATATTTGCAACTATATTTTCAATCCTTTTTTCTTCCTGATTTTCTGCTGCTTTGCTCTGTGTGTGTGTATATATATAATAATACATGTGCAGAACAGTGTGTTAGTGGTGATGACATATGAAGCAGAAATTGGGTGTAATCCCAAAAATTTTGAATACAAGTGTCACTATGCAGGTATCTTATATAGGTATAAAACTAATTTTTATTGATAATTAAAGTCTAATTCTACACCATTGGATACTTCGATATCTTCAGGAGGCAAAACGCAATACTTGGAAGCCTTTCTCAAATATAACTTTGAAAGCTAAGGTATGAAGTTGACACAAACATTGGAAAAGAGAATGAAATGAGAAGATACCCAAAAAAGGTTAGAAGTATTCAGTTTTAAAGAGCAGGGTACAAGACCTACCTCTTGAAGGGCTGAGAACCATGCAGTGATGCTCTAATGGAGGGTCCTCACAATATCTTCTGATAATCTCAGAAAAACAGGAACAAAATGCTAGTGAAGTCAAACACATTTGCAATTGATAAAGCAGGTGTTTGAAGTAATGCAGATAGTTAGGGAACTCGAGAGAGGTTGTGGCATCTCCTTCCCTGGAGATATTCAAAAGTTGTCTGGACACAATCCTGAGCAATGTGCTCTTGAGCAGACCATGCTTGAGGAGGGACTCGAGGACCTTCAGTGGTCCCTTCCAGCCTCATTTATTACCTCATGTGTGTTTCTGTGCAATCAGTCACTCATTTCAAAGAAAATAATTCTATAGAGTTGAAACAAGTTTAGATGCTTATCAACCCAGAGAAATTGATGCTATGCAAAATAAAGCAGTTTATATAAGGTAACACATTAGATATTGTAAGTGAGAAGTCAGCAACTTCATTTTTGGATTTAAGATATAACATTCTCCAAGGACATAATTCTGCCAAAGTGTTCTATTGTGAACTCCATATGTGTTGGTGTGTTTCTTTGTCATTTTGCTTTGTTATTTTTTTCATATGTGGCTTTTTATATTTTGGTTTTGGTTGATTGGTTCTTTTTGCTTTTGTTTTTGTTTTTCTTTTGGTTTTTTTTTGTTTTGTTTGGTTTGGTTTGGCTTTTTGTTTTTTTGGGTTTTTTCTGAAATACATGCTCTTGGTGTCTGTGAGGTGAAATACAGAGACTAGCTAAAATATCTTCCCATGTGGAGATGACATTATGCAGGCCACAGGAATTGAGAATTAAGTTTCTTCTCCCTGGTAGGATGCTTTGCTTCTCTAACTGTTTCCAGAAGGAAGACTTTAGGCACATCTAAATTTATGGGGAAATTATCCATTGATTAGTTTGGTCAAAACTGGCTCCTGGATCATAGTGTCTGAAACTGCTTAAGAGCTCACATTTTAATTTACTGCACTAGACCTATAGTTTATCTTTTGCCATATGCCTAGTGATAGGAGTTTACATAGAAAAATATTGTGTTTTTAAAAGAAAAGCAAATATTTTCCAGAAAGGCAATTGAATGCTGAAAACACAACAAAAACCACCTCATCTGGAGCTCATTTTGCATGATCTATTGTTCACAGAGAACAGGCATACATCATTTGGCTTTATTTTATCCTAGAATTTAATGCCCTTTGTACAAAATGTAGGAGTTAATTGGTAGCTAACTCACTTTGATAGTGTGTTTGCTATGCTTGGGGGACATATTTTCCCCAATTGCCACATTTTAAATAGATTTTACCTTGTAAGGCTTACTTTTAGCTTATCATTACAACTTGGAAAAATTCACTACCTTTTTTCTCTGTGGATATGTGTTCTCCCCATATTTTTTGTTGTGATATCTTGTGTGTATATATGTGCAGGGGAAAAGAGTGTAGAGAAAAAAAAAACTCTATACTGTGAAGGATGTAGCAATTAACTGTTCACAAAATGGACACAGGCATATAAATTTTCAAGATGTATGAGGTGGTTCCTTAAGAGAAACTTGAAGGAGTAACTGTATATTCAAAGCATTCATTTGTTTCAGAAATGTCAAATTACTGCATGACAATTCCTGTTCTTATATTTTGCTATGCATTATTGGTAGGAAGCTGCTAATCATTCAGTATTTGGATTTTTATCAGAAAAGAAGATTAATTATTTCTCTCATTTGATCCATCAAAACATTTTGATACACACCAAACTGTGCCTGGGTTTTATTGACATGACATAAAAATCTATCTGGGATTCAGTAGCAGTGGTTAATGGTCATTTATTAGATGTGGACTTTAGAGGGAAACTCCAGATATAAAACTCCGTGAGAACAGTTGAATATTCCTCCAGGAGATATTGTTATTCAGCCCCTAGTTTCAGATGAGAGTAAACTGCTAATTAATAATTTACAGAAACTTCATAACTTCATAACATAACTAAACTATTACAGATGACAATTACATGGAAGTTTTGGGGTTTTGTCAGATTGTTTGTTCCTTTGTTTGTTTGGTCATTACAGCAACTGGACAAATCCTGAGCTCTTTAAAATGCCATTTCTTGGGGTGTGGTAGTTATATTTTATTCTGTTTTAAATTTTCAGTAGAAAATTGGAGAAGTCATCAGAATGCAGCTCTTTGTGAAATGCATACTCCCCCAAGAGAATTTTGTCCCTGTGATAAAATGGACTTAGCTGAAGTCATATTTCTCTTTCTCAACTATGATGAAGATAACTGAAATGCTAACATAAGGCAAACTTTTTGCAGCACAATCTTCTTCTTCATTTTTCATTAAAATCAGGATCAATCTTTAGAAAAACACACAAAGCCCACCTTGACGTATGCAATGTATCAAGACATATTAGAGGTGTTGCCCTGGAGAGTTCTGCACATGTGAGTGGAAAGCAGGAATTTAACAAGCCAAATATCTGAAACTGGGTGAATAGGTAAGACACGAGGCTATAATTCATTGTGTCTTCATACTATGTTCTGTATAAAGAGAAAACCCTCTAGGGGTATTCAAACTCTGAAGAAAAAGAATTTTAAGTCCAAAAAGATGATAATAATGTGAAAATGTTGGTTTGAAATGACAAAAGCCCTAAGCTTTTAAAACTTTACAATATTTAAAGTTTAAAGAATTTGCATGAAACTGCCATTAGTTTACCATAACCATTATTGCTGCTAACAGCAGTTCAATCATATGTCTTAAATCTGGGATTTTGACAGTTCAGGGAAATTATTATTCTAAATATGTAATGTGAGCAACTTGCTAAGTAATCCTGAGGAATATTCACTTATCATTTTTTCAAGGAGAATTCTCCACTGGTGTCCATGTAGTTTCCCATCAGATGGCAAAGATGCCTCCCACATGATTTTTCCCCACCCTCCATGAGCCCCAAGTGTGTTTCTGCACCAGTGCACCCCTTGATGTGAGAAATTACCTAACAATGTTACATGAATATGACTTAGCAGGCTGGTCTGACTGCCTAGGTTTATATTCCCACAGGGCGCCTGCACAAGTCCAGCAGATGTGTCTCCTGGCAGAAAATCAGCCAAGATAATGAGAAAAGACTTCAACTTCCATATGCTGGTATCAGCACGGATTTAATGTCCTTATCCAAGTGCCTCCCTTCATCAAAACTTCTGTAGCACTCTGGCAAGTTTTCTCAGTCTCTTCAAGAGATGATTTCAGAAAGGCTGGCATTGTGTAGTAACAACTGTGCTGCCTCTACTTTTTTGCACTTATCTCTTTGGACATGACGAATGTAAATAGAAAATATATTCTATAATTCCTGTACCTCTCAAGTTTGGGAATGACCAATATCAGTGAATACAGTTGAATGTATACTTCTTGCTAATAAATGCAACCCTGGCTGGCTTTAACAGAAGTTCTGCATTTGTCTTAAAAGGTGAATTAATTCTAAGTCTTTATCCTAAATACCTCATTTGATTCTTATTAGAATAATCAGGCTCTATTATTTATCCAGTCCCCAAGAAGAGCCTGGGTTTTGTGAGAAATACTAGCAGGAGATCTCAGTGTTCTTATTTTATATTAATATAGCAAGGGGCAATCTTCAAAGGCAGGTGGGTGATAAGATTCAGGGAATATCAATAGTATGCTGAGATGAGAGGAAGTCTTATTCAAGCCTGAGTCTAGTTTTCTTTTTTTCAATTTTGTCAATGTCTCCTAGTATTTTAAATACCTCTGGGATTTCAAACCCCAAATTCTCTCAAAATAGAGAAGAAATTTGGAGGAAAAATTTATGAATTTATTAATGTTGTGTCCTTTTTTAAAAGTTCTTTTCTTCATTATGAACAATTTCAGTTTATAATTCCTTACTGGAATAAGAATATAAGAAATCCAAGACTAGCTCAGACTAACAGAGTGGTGGAAGTCTTGATCCTTACTGCCTGAATGCATAAAAACCCCATGAAAAGCATTCACAGAAAAATCTCTTGCTGAGACAGGTGCTAACACTAGCAGAAACTGCTGCAACTGCATTGCAGAAAGTTCTATACTCCCCCCTTTCTAATGTGGCCAACTGCTTTATTCTAACCCTGCTGCCTTCTTGGTCTATAAGAGCCCTACTACTTCTGCCTGGTACGGATTAGATACAGGCTTGGTTTTTCTGAAGGAAAGAAATTCCCTTAGCAAGGTCAGCAGTGTACTTACAGCCTGAACATTGGCACAAGTGATCTCAGCTCGTTGTGGCAGAACAGTTTTCCCCAGGGAACTCGTGGTGTCTCCAAATATATTTCAGGTGTGAGGAAACAGACCTAGGGGAGATATACCCAAAGTCACACAGTAAACCACAGACAGATGTGGGACTGAACTTGTGTTCTACGCCCAAGCCAGAACACTGACCAGAGCTTAGGATGTTGTCTGGAGTCAGGCTATGCCAGAACAAGGTGCTGCTTGGACATCAGGCTGTTATAATTTCACAGGATAATGTGCAAATGTTCAGTGTGTCATTTTGACAGGGGCTAAGTTCAAAGGAAATTGTGCTCTGCAGAATTGTTCCTTCCTGACGACAAGCTACTACAACTAAGCAAGGACCTGAAAGGTGAAAGGGTGGCTTAAAGGCATCTCAGCCCCAATGTCTTGAGTCTCACTGTTAGCTCCTTGTCCCTCCTTTCCCACTCAAATTTTTACAGTGATTCTCCCCCTCTTCTCTCATAAGACCTCACCTGGAGAGGTGGATTCAGATCTGGGTCCCACTAGAAAGACACAGAACTGTTGGAGCAAGTCCAGAGGATGCCATGAAGTTGGTGAGGGGACTGGAATATTGTGGAGGTCCAGTGGCCTGGCCAGCAAGCCAGCCATAGCCAAGACCAACACAAGGCCATGGAAAATTACACTTTAGGTGCAGGGACACTGTTTTGAGTTAGGGAGAGTTAAAGTTTGTTCAAAGGGGATCTTGGGAGTTACTATGTTAATGTATCTTACATTCCCCATTGTGATTGGTTAGAATGCTTCTGGAATGTTTCTAGAATGTTCCCTGTTATCCTATATAAGTTGGGATCACCCTTTGTTAGACCTCGTAGCATCTGACTGTATTTGGGAGCATTCCTATTACTGTGGCAAGAAAAATAAAGGACCCTTGGATTTTCCACCTAAGTCCCATCACCCACCATTTTTCCCTGCCAGCCCCTCACAATCACTGCCTGTCCTCACAGGCATGGACGGAGCAATGTGGTAGAGCACCTCCCCTGTGAAGACAGGCTGAGAGAGTTTGGTTTGGTCAGCCCAGAGAAGAGAATGTTGTGTTCAGGCCTCATAGCAGCCTTCCAAAATCTGAAAGGGGCTACAGGGAAGGTGGAGTAGAACACGTCGTCAGGAACTGTAGTGATAGGACAAGAAGTATGGGTTCAGACTGAAAGAAGGGAAAATCAGATTGGATATATGGAAGAAGTTTTTACAGTGAAGGTGGTGAGACACTGGAACAGGTTGTTCAGAGGATCCCATGCCTGTCTGTATTCAAGTTCAAGTTGGACAGAGCTGGGAGCAACTGGTTCTTGTGGGAGATTTCTCTGCCCATGACTGGGGGGCTGGAACTGGATGATCTTTAAGGTCTTTTCCAATCCAAAACATTCTGTGATGCTATGATGCTAAGTGTTTATGTTTTAATAAATATTTAAAGTGTTGGTTTTGTACCTTTGCATGAAAGAAACAATTTTAAATGCAGTATTTGGGACACACTCAGGCTGGAGTTGTTCTGGGGAATATTTTTCTTTTTGATGGAGTCAGGTTTTTTCTATCACTCAATGAGATGGAATTTAAGAAAATAACTTAATAGTTCCCCCTACTCCTGTCACAAATTTCAGATAAACCTTTATAGTAGGACAAATATTGAACTCAAAGTTATTTAGTGTCCAGTGGAGACCTATTGTAAAGAAAGAAAGAAAATCACATTGTTTATATAGAGTGATTTGATGGCCATATCTTGGCTTCTTTAAAATTTATTGTATCTATTGATGCCTTGACACATCTGAGGACTGGCCTATTTGGGAAAGTCTGAGGCTATTGTTTTCCCAGCAGTGACTAAGGGTTACAAAGGCATCCAGATGTTTTGTCTACATTAAGACTAAGTATGCTAGTTTCCAGACCTGAATTTTATAGACATTGGACTAAATTAGAATCTAGTCCTCTGTCTTGGGCTCCCTTACTTCAAAGGAAACTTCATATATCTTTTTTTTTTTTCTTTCTTCTTTTTCTCCTTCTCCCATGTCAGCTTGCCTATCAAATCCTAGATGGTGCAAATGGGCAATGCACTTGTATTTAACTACTTCCTATAAAAGATAAAAGGGAAATAAATTCAGATTCTCTCTCCTCAATTCACTTACACAGTCTTTTTTTCTCTCCCTCTCTCTGAGAAAGAGCCCAACTGTTTGAAATTTAAATATACACAGTCAATTTTAATATAATGTTCTTTCTCTGCAAATGAGATTATACTATTCACATGTTCTAGGAATCTTTAGACAATTTTTTCTCACGTGCTTTCTTTGTCATCCTTCATTCTAACAATGCCAAAGCTTGTGAACAACCAGTCTTCTTTATTTTAATAGCAATCATAATCACAATTCTGTATTACTTGAGGGACTAGAAACATAGATCTATTTTTCTCATGCCTCTTCCAAACTGCTCCCAACTATCAGATGATGAATAGTCACAAATATTAGACTGAAGTATATTTAAGTTTTGAATATTTTTGTATGAAAAATGAATAATAAAAGAGATTGACTGACAAAAATACTAAACCCTACAACCTTATCAAGCACTACCATAAAGGAGCAAAAATAGCACAAAAAGAAAATTATTCTTTGTTCACAGATCTTTAGGATTTTTGCTTTGAAACTGAAATTGTTGGAATAGGAGAACAGAGCAGATGTTGTATATGCTGTCCTAAGAGGTGCCTAATGTGTGTATTCCAATATCTATCACTAAAACAGCTAAATACACTAATGATTTAAACAAGTGATTTTATGGTTTTATAAATGCATAGCTCTTGGTCATGAAAGCAGCCTCAACCCTTTTATCTTAAGGGCTGAACTAATCTTGCTATGTGATTTAATTACTTTCAAAGGTTTTGTACCATTACATTTACATCTGCTGCATTTATCTCTGAAGTAAATAGCAAGAGCCAGACATTAACAGCTTCAGTTTATAAAGACAAGGTTGACAAATTCCTGTTCAAAGGTTTTTTCCTATTTGATACAAAAATAAATGCTCCATATAATTAAAGAAAAAACTCCTTTGGAAGACATAAAAGAACAGAACAATTAAACAATTGAAGAAGTTTTGATTTCCTTCAACTCCTGATGATTGTTAGCCTTCTATACCTTCATCTCAAAAATTCAACTGTACTTCAGCAGATATGTTACAGTTTTTGAGATTCTTAAACTCTCTTGGTTGAATTTTTTAGCCTTTGCATTGTCAGTACTATAAAACTATTTTTTTCTCCAGCTCTCCAGTTGAGTTATGGCATTTATGTATCACATTGAATTTTACAACTTATTTAATAGCATTTTTATTTTTTATGATTTCTCTTCTCCTACCTTTTAAAAATATCTTGGGGAATATATTTAAGTTTTATCCAAAATAAAAACAAACTAAAAATCTACCTAGCTAAATTATTGTTTTCATTTTGACCATAGAGACTAATGAAACAAAAATTATTTTAGTTCAATGCAAATTACCATACCAGAACAATGTAAAGCCAGCTTTATGATCTGCCTATTTCACACACTTCTGGTTACAAATGTAGAAATGCAAAAATCTGCAGTATTCTTTGTTTTGCTACATATAAAGAGAGCAGACTTGGATTAGTGTGTGGATCTAATAACTCATATTAAAGGAGAAAAAGAGAGGGTAGAAGGAGAAAGGAAAAAAAAGAAAGTTGTTGTTGTATATTAGGAATAGTTTTTTTAAATTATGCCTGAGCTTTTGAAGATGGAGTAGAATTCAATGTCACCATGACATTTTATACTAAGTATGGATTTGAGTCTTCCAGACAGTGGATGGGAAATCTCATATTTATAGCAACTTTCAAGATTTTAGACCATTTCAGACACAAATTTGGCAATAACTCCTTGCAAATGGAGGCTGGTTAACCTAAAATGTAAGACATTTATTGCAAGACCAAGTCTAAATGAATTAAGAATCTCATCAATGTGGTTTATTTGTAGCAAGGGCTTCAGAATGAATCCCCAAAACATTCTGAAAGAGTGACCCAGCTCTGAGGACACTGAGTATTTTAACAAATTTTCCTGTGTCTTCTTGATTAAACTGTCAATTGATGAGGTACATCAGAAATGTTCAATTTCAGACAATCTTTTATAATCCAAAAGATGATGATCTCTTAATCCCTAAGATTTTCACGCATATGTCTTCCTTTCACATCAGGGGTGGCTGTATGCTGGCCAGATAGTGACATTCTCAGCCCATTTAGTTCCGAGGCATAGAATTTCAGATCACTAGGAATTTATCAAATCCTGCTCCTCATAGGCTGCGCTTGCTGAAGGTCAGTCTCAAGGCACAAGAGTAGGACAAATTAAAATACTGTGTGTTGACTAATTCCTCTAACAGCTAAGGACAACATGTTGATTTACAACTTTTTAAGTCTAGCATTTCAAAGTTGCAGTAAGTGCACTCTGAGAAGATGGTTTTCAGCACAGATTTTCTTCTTGTAGAGGAAAATGTTTATTAGGAACATGAAATTTAACATTGGATCAGAAATTGAAGTTAGGGAGAGGCATTTGCCTGAGTCTTGAGTGCTCTTGTCATATTACTAAACAATGAAACCAGATAAGCAGATATGTGCACTGTCATATAATCACTCTGAAATACAATTATCTCTATAGGAGGCCAAACCTTTGTAAACCAAAGCAATAAAAAATCTGATCTTAGGGAATATATTTAAGTTGAGAGACAGATGGGAAAATCTGTGAAGTCAGAGAGACCTAGACATGATACAGTAGATTCAACACATCTATACCATCTATGCCATGCTCTTCATACACAGGTTTGAAGATGCTGAAGGTGGTCTGAAAGTTAGCAGCAATTCCTATGGGTTTTGTGTGGCAGCCAAAGATCACAAAGTAAGAACAACATTATTCTGTCCCCATGATCAGGGAGTTATAAAGATATGGCAGAAAATTACCTCTGACTTCACTTAGAGGAGGACAAATAGTACCTTTATAACTGTCTTCTGTCTCCATAAACTGTAATTTCTCCAGATGGAGTCTATTCAATTGGGAAAAAAGACATGTGATTAAGG